ATTCCGAGAGTTTGAAGACATTTCAACGAATATTAGGGGCACCTCCCGAACAAAATTTTGAATTTTTCGCTCTAAAACGAAATTTTGTATGGGAAGTACCCTTAATATGCATTGAAATTTCTTCAAACTTTCAGAATGTTAACTTTTTGTGAAAAAAATAACCTCTGCAAATTTTCACATGATTACGATATCATATAGGCATGGCTCCGATACAAAAATTCCCATCTTTAGTAGTTTTTGTAAGAAAAGTGCTTCGAAAATTATTTTTATCTAAAACTAATGTCAGATTTAGTTTTCTCGTGAATTATTTGAGTAAAAGATTTGTAATAAATGCATGTCGTGGATCACAGTGCGGAAAAGTTCATCTTACGGATGTAAGACATTTTATATTTCTTTTAATTTAATATTTTTATTATTAGATGTCGATTTGGGAGCCGGATTAGATTTCGGCCCAGGCAATGTTTACGCGCAAGTAAATTCGATTTTCTCTTTACATCATATGCGTGCAAACGAGTAAATTGTATTTTTTTAAATTATTATTATCAATATAGTTCACGCATCTACAGCATGCACCATTCGAATATCGAATCAATGTTAGGAACGAAACACCTTCAATGAAGCAAGGAACGTGTCGCATATTTTTGGTTCCAAAATACGATGAGAGAGGCGAACCGCTGCGTTTCCGTGAACAAAGACTTTTTGCTATCGAAATGGATAAATTTTTGGTTAATTGTAAGAGTGCAAGTTTCCTTCTCCTTCGAAATGGCACGTTTTTTTTCAAATCCAATCTTCTTTGCTTATCATTTAAAGTGAATCCGGGTGAAAATGAGATTCGTCGACGTTCTGAAGATTCGAGCGTTACAATTCCGTACGAAAGGTCATTTAGACGTATTGGGAGTCTGTATCAACCAGAGAGAGCAGAGGATTTGGCACAATTTCAATTTTGTGGTTGCGGTTGGCCGCAACATTTGCTCTTGCCTAAAGGCTCAGCATCTGGTACCCGATTTGATATTTTCGTAATGATTAGCGACTATGAATATGATCGAGTTGATCAAACATTAAGCAGGTAAAGACTTCATTCAAACCGATAACTTGGTATGTATTTAATTGAAATATAAAAAAAAATTACAGTAATGTTTCGTGTAATGACGCTCTATCGTTTTGTGGAATGCGTGATCAAAAATATCCTGATTTACAACGAATGGGATATCCGTTTGATAAAAGTACGTCGTTGGCAAACAATCAAGAAGTTCCCACCTTAAGAGAATTTACGGAACAACTTTCAAATGCATCACTGGGTGAATGTTTAATCAAATTTACAAACACCATTATCGATCGTAAGAATTGAACGAATTATTTTTTCTGCAAAATGTCTATCGAATATTAAACTGTTGACTCGGTTATTCTTATTAAGAAGAAATGAGAACTTTCAAAAATAATAAAATAGCTATAGCTATACATCATACATTGTTGTTTTATTACATGTTTTTGAGTTGATAAATTATTTTATCGTTTTCTAATCGCGACTCACACTATGTTACAGCTTCTGAAATAGCCAGTTTAACGTTATTACAAACATTTCTTAGGTTTTTGAGTTGTGTGATGTTGAACGTATTATAGGTAGGTATTATATCATTTCAGTTAGTAATCACAAAACTAAAACTGCTTTATATAGCTCAGCTATATTAAAAGTGAATTGCATTGAATTATCAGCAATTGCTTTCAAAAGACCAGACTTTGTCTTTTGCAACATTATTAAACTCAATATTGCTTTTTATTAGGCATTGTGCAACTTGATATAAAGTTTATGATATGCAACAAGGTAATGTAGTTGTAGAGTGTAAAGAAAATTATTGGAATTATATAATTAATACCGCGTACGTTTAATTTTTAGATGTACAAGTACATATTTTGTTTTCACTTTGACATCTGTCAAAATAAAAGAGAAGAAAAAAAAACCCGATATATTTCAGTTGAAAATTGTATTTTTTTGACGTCATGTAACGAGTCAACTGTATTCAAAAGCATTGAACTGTAAGATTTATTTTATTTATTTTGCGCTACAATTGCTCCAGATGTTTTGTTTAAGCGGTTGAAATTCTGTATGTTAATGTTATGTGATGGCCTGGTAAACCCCTGAGTCGGAAACAAAATTCATTCGTAAAACAAATAGGTAAGATGCGGTTGTTGTGAATTTTCCGCTATAATAACGTTGAATAAATAAAAGGTATCACGAAACAATCAAACGAGCGAATGCTTTAAAATTATTATTTACGCAATCGAAGCACGCGCAAAAATTCCACGTGATCAATGGAAATGATGGAGAGAAAACTCTTACTGTATTTAACAATTGACAAAAGGATATAAATGAGGACACAGTCATCACTTAATATTGTTTATTTTTTGGGGTTAACCCGTTTAAATGACATAATTAAAAAGCACAATAAAACCAAAATAACAATGCTTTCTTCGATTGTTATATACGAGTAGAATCTTCATTCTTCAATTAGAGCAACCATAACCATTTCTATATTATACCATATGGTTAAGTATGATTTTGAGGCACGAAATATTATATCTGTAATTGTATGCACTAACTTCAACATTTTCATTGCATAACAAGTCGATAACAAGTGTGACTATTTTGTGAATTTTGATTTATTTTACATTAAATCAAAAAGATTGAGATAAACAATAAAAGAAGTGGGTTACAGAACAATAAAATAAGTTCTTAATTAGATTCAATCTATATTCGTAGCAAACTGTCATAGCATATCAAATTGCGTACTGATTTAGAATTTGGTATCAAATATCCAATTACGTTTGTTACAGAGTCTTTCAACAACACATTCTATTGTCCGTGCTAAAAAACTGAAGAGGTATATTTGAACGCATTCATGCGTATGTTAGACTCTAATGATTAGAGTGGGTATGTAATTCACAAGCAAGGATAATGGTGCGCATTTTTTAAGTATAACCCATCTTTTCCATACCTTTTATTTATTTATTCAAATCCGCAGAAATTTAGGTTAAAAAAAACTTTATACACTCAGAAAAAATTCATTCGTCATAAAAGGCCACATTTGAACAAAAAAAAGGTCGTGATATCGTTATATTTATTTTTGCGTGAATTCAAGTAGTTTGTTATTTAAATTGTATGTTTCTTGTTGTGAAAATTGTCATACGTTCAAGCAATTAAACGGTCAAAGAGAAAATTAAAAGATATTGTTGGAAAAAAAGAGATCAAATAGAATTTAAGATATGGTAATGGTGGTCACAACTTTTTGCACCCAATAAACGCCTCCATTCAAAGCGATTGTGGCTATTAATTTGACTTCCCCGGAAACGTCTTGTGGTGGTAGCCAAGTTCCAATAATCGAGTTTTGACCACTACCGAAAATCTTTTTATGTGTTAGCGCATTCTGAAATACGAAGAAAAATAGTTAAATTCTTTTTTTTAAATTAAGACAAATTGTACACAATCAAAGCACGACGATAATGACAGCTCGGCAACGCTCTATTAGAGATTAGTACCGCTGGCAACCGCAGAACTATATAGAATCATATGGAGTCATTTGGTGGCGCTGGCAAGCAATTTTGCCTTATCGTCATGCTTTGTACACAATCATCACAGGGTCATGTTATGTTTTCAATTATTTTCCTATCTATTAAATTACAAAAGCAAAACACATCATCACTTCAGTTAATCTATTTCCGTATATTCTTCAAGGGTACTCGTTGTTGTTCTACATGTTTTTGATTTTTCATTCATTACGATTGGATGATAAATGCTAAATCAAACGATTGTCATTCGGCAGTACCACCACTCATGTTAAACAGAACTATAAATAAACAGTTCTACTATACAATGGGAGTAAAACGTACTGGAACATGTTTAACGATATAAGACACACGCTTGAAACCGGTGTTTTAATGATAAAGTTATGTAAATTTCGATTTAATCGTGTGTAATTTATTTTTTCATTATGTGTAAAATTGAATTGCAACAGTGTTAAAAAAACACTGCATGACACATAATCGATTATATTGAAAATAAAATAAAAAACATCCGGAGAGACAGAAATGCTATTGAAAATGTGTGAAGAGAGATGATGATGAATTGCAAATTTAATAAGTAAATAAATGTCCAAATGTAACAGCAGCCAATAAATTTTACACGTATCGAAAAAAACCAGTATTGAATGTGCTGAAAGATATAAAACACTGGTCAAACTGCAAAAAGCAAAAACACAAAATGGATTTCATGTGTATTGAGAAATATCATTCAAGGTTTCATCGTACTGTGTTTTTTTTTTTTTTTTCATGAAAAAGACTAAAATGAAATGCAAAATTAAATGGACGTACTAATAGAACAATCCGAAATGTTTCGCGTGTATAAAATATGTATATGTTCGAACGAAAACGATTTTTTTATTAAATATAATTAGAACGTGTCAATTGAGTACATATTCTTGGACTCGTGTCAAGATTATTGATACACCAATAGCCTTGATTCAGTTTGTTAGCGGTAATAAATTGGAATTTTTTTAGTCACTTACTCCTGATCCTCCCGAGCAGTTCAATAATTGCGCGTATTTTTTGGATTTCATTGGAATTTCAAATTTTCCGACTGGTTTATCCCCAATGCGTGCCTGAATCAGAAAACCCTTAATTGTATCGCCAGCAGCATTGCCCTTGATTTCAAAATTAACCGATTGGCCTGCTTTATATTGATGTTCATTTAAAATAAATTTGTATGGTGCATCTGATTTTTGTGGTTCGACATGATGTTGTGGACTGAAAAAAAAATTATTTGCTTTTTTTTACAATCAATTGACTGACATATGCTTACATCATGTCTCCACATGCTTGTTCCGGAGCACCGGAGGAATAAGAATATGCCGATGGAATGGCACAAATCAAAGCAATCGTTATAAATGCACGAAGAAGCATTTTGATTGAATGTTGTTCAGGTTTAACAAATTTGATCTATAAATAGTGGCAAAAAGAATAAAAAAAAGAAGAGAAAAAAAATTGGTAATTAAATTTAATTTTGGTTGTGATTCTTGGAATTATTCTTAAGCATTTCGATCGTATTTTTAATAACCATGAAAAAAAAACATGGATGTGTCACCGTCAATGAAAAAAAAAATGTTCTGAAAATATATATAGCGTGATGAATTATGTTTTGTGTTCAACATACATTTCATTCTATCTGACTCAATTGAGTGCGAAAAAGTAATCAATTAATAATAGAACTCAAACATTTTCTAATCACATAGTTATGCAACGATCTAAAAGTGTATTCCATTCAATTTTCAATTCTAAATAAATTTGATTAAAAGATATATTCTGTGTTTGTTTTGAACACGCGTTCCAGTTTTTTCCACCGTAATTACGTATTCAGTCAAACATCGCAATAAATTAGTTTGCTATAATGATTTATTTCGTAAGAGCCATTGCAAGAGAATCGTGTTAAGGTGGAAACATTAAAATCACTAGTTTTAACAGAAAAAAATACCATGCAACTAATTGAATCGATTTTCGAAATATGTTGAATTGTCAAGGTATTCAAGACTTGACATTTCTGTGTGGCGATGCTTCGTAAAAATTATGCATTTCACAGCTACGCAAAGCTAATTTTTTATCACTAAAAATTTATTTATCACTCAAGTTGTCTCTACACAGCAAAGTTCATCAATTAACACAAAGGATAAACAAAAAGATGTCATTTCAACAAAAACCAAATGATGTTATAAAATACATAATATCGATGCAAAAAGTCAAATTTGAAAATATTCAATTAATTCAAAATAAAAATCTATTTATGTTACCTGTTAAGATTTGATCTTCTCTGATCGAAGTCGTAACAAAATCTGATTCAATAATCAAAAAATCAGACGATAGTGGTCCAGCGTAGTATCGTGTGGTTTGTCTTTTGTCTCTGTTGTTTTCTCATTTCGACCGTCTTACACACATGCTGTATTTACAAACTGTAAACGGCATATCGGCTATCGTTTGGTAGTGGGGTAAAAACACAAATGTCAAAATACACGATCGACGGTCACTTAAACAGTGCTGTATGTATTGGTTGTGTGTATTTTTGTTGTTGCTGCTGTTCAATGATGACATAATTGGCATTATGTTGTCGTTCGTCTTCAACGGCAAAACCATAATTACAATTGTTGAACTGTTTACATTGTGCTCTTTTGTGATGGCCAATGAAACGTTGTGAATACATATTTTCACAAATGTAAGATTATTCGGCGGAAATTGTTGTCCATATCATTGAAATTAAAGACTCATAGTTATATTTGTTTGATTTTTTTTTTTTTGCCTCACAATGACCTTAAAAATAGCTATTCTTCATTTATTTGCGTACTTTTGTAATTGAGCTCGGCTTGAATGAGAATCATAGCAAAAACAACGTTTTGTATTGTACAAAATTAATATTTGCAATAAAATTTTGAACATTGTTCCACAGTTCCACTAACTTTATAAAGTTGTACAGATTTAACGCATTAGTTATATCCCCATTTAATGCTTTAAAGTTTGAAATAATAATAAGAACAACCTACGCATAATAAAATATAAACGAATTGTGTGCACTTTACTCTGGCTCTTTATAATATCCATGCTTACATTTTTCAAGACAGAGTCGGCTATAAATTGGAAACCAGATGCCTACTGATGTCTGCTTTTGAAGCCGTATTTTGAAATTTCCTTCCAAGAATGAACTATTTGTATTAATATTAGCGTTTCATCCGTTGTACGTCAAAAACTATGAATGGAAAGGAAGCGGAATAAAGCAGTCCATTTTGTTTGAAATCTAACAATATAAGTCATGAATTTGTAATTTACCTTTCTTCTCAAACAACAACACACGGAGTCTTGGACATATTATCAGATCGATTTTTCTGGTAAAATTCACATTTTCCAACTCAAACACACACACACACACACATTTACAAAAATCGCTATTGTTCATTTTTATTCCGTGCATAAGGGTGTCCCATTCAGTGTGACAATACATTTCGTTTTGGAAAATGCGGCGTGCCATTTCCTCATCTTACAAATATCTCAAGATATATTTTTTTGCTCTGCGCATAACATATTTCACTGTGAATTTTTTATGTGTTCGGGCCGTTGAAATAACGAAAAAACAAATGTTGAATGATGAAAATTGCAATAAGTATATATGAGATAAGTCAAAATACTGCACAATTTGAACGAAATTGATACCATTCTTCGGCAAAGAATGTAATCATGAAACAAGAAATAATTATATGCCAAACGCCTGCATGTAGATTTTATGAATGGATTTTTCGATTTTCGTTCAGTCATTTAAAACAGTGGACCAACTGGTCTTTTTCTTTCAAGCCAACGGTTTCTCTTTATATTTCTAAAAACAATAGAAAACAGACAAAGGCGAACAATGTGGACATATTTTTTAAAAGAATACTTTCTGTTCACAATTATGATTGTACTAAGTGCTGAAATACTTATCTGGTTTCAAGCAATAACTCTTGTTTCTTCCATATTCTGTCAGTTAACAATTAGATTGGCTCATTTTATCCATTCAAATGCAAACATGATTGCCTTGTCGCAGACAAAAACGTATACTATACCATCGAACAAATAATCAAGTAAAAAGACATTAATAAAAGTTTTGCGGGTGGGTTGTATAAAGATCTCTAATACAGTAGCTTTTTTATATGAAATCTGTCACACTAACGCCCTCACTCTATCTTTTGGCGAACTAAACAGAATAAAGTTTAATATAAAAGTAAAGTCTCCATCAGGATATTTTATACAGCCGGTGTCAAGATCAATAAAACTGTTAATAGAATCTGCCATTTTTACGCAATTTTGCGATGTGATTGCGAGATTAAGAATATAAATAAAATAAATGAACGGAATAAACGAACTTAACAGAACAGAATAATTCGCACGAGTGTATGACAAGTATGTAAGAGAACAATAACATTACGTTTTGTATCTATCTGTCAAATGTCACACTCACACTTATGAGTTTACGTATGGAGATTTTAACAAAATCATTTCTACAAGATCTACACACTCTACACCCGAGGCTTTTTAAGTTAAATTAAAACGCATATAAATTTATGTTTTTTTAAATAGAAATTATCTAATGCTAATTGTGCTAACTTCACTTTCAAAACAAAAAAATGAAACAATTTATTAAATTATTTTTCAACAATTTTTGGAATAACATATGCGCTCATTCTCAAACTTGTGAAATAATATCCCATTCTATATATAGATGGCACTGTCTATACGAAGTTCGGCAAACAAAGCATTACGCTTATTGAGCGCATTACACCTCTTGTTGTATATGGAAAAACCTTCCCACCATTCAATAACAACCCAAAGAATGTTCAACACGTGACTTCAAAACATGCGTCAATTCTGAATTTCGAATATGGCACTTTTTCAAATGAAAAACATAAAATTCAAAGTATAAGTTTGATGTTATATACATTTATGTCATTATTTATTGTGATTTGCACAGAATATGATGTAATTTTGTATAAAATTTTTTATTCAGGTGAAAATAAAATAAAGTTGAAAATAACCAATATTGACTGAGTAATTTGTTGTGATGAATTAGGTAAGTTAATTAATAAAACAATAAAATGAATTGAATTAAATAATGTGTGATAACAAGAATAACTCTAACTAACAACTCTAGTTAGTTTATCCTATAAAAATACCAAATTAATTTGTTGTTTTTGTTCAACAGAGACATTTTTTGAACTGACAACTGAACACAGAAAGGAAGAGAGTATAGAGCTTCGAAGCGGCGTGTGACAAGTTCTTGGTTACATAAGTATGAACTAAGTATCTCCAGCCATTGAGCAATCTTATTTTATTTGATTGCGCAATTTCTGTTCGAAATTGAGTAGCATTCAAGATGGAATTGCTTGATGGAATAATGATGATGATTATGCAATCACATACAGACCAAAAGTGTACTGAAGACTAAAAGACTGATGACAAAAGAAATTTCCTTGGAAATTTCAATCTATTCGATATTATTATTTTAAAAACAATGAGCATTTTTATTTGAATTCAGAATCAAATTCATTTGCAATGTGCCATATATACAAATCAAATTATCGATAATATATTATACTAAAATTAGAAGTAAAACGCATGATGCAATTAATATAAATCCAAATAGAATATTCTGAGAAATAATGTCTTCGTGGCCACGATTGATATGCTTGTAGTCTTTGAGAATTTGTTGTTGCGCAAGTTTTGCCCCGCATAACACGATTGGTACGCCAGTACCTAAAGGGAAAAATAAAAAAAAGTTTAACTGTATCTCTGTTTTTCTTTTAAATTTGTTTTTTCTTTTTACCTGGATGCGCTGATGCGCCGACAAAGTATAGATTCTTAAACAGTTGGCTTCGTGTTTTCGGCCGCAAATGTAGCACTTGACTGATGTTGTGCGAGAGACCTAGAATGGATCCTTTCCACAACTTGAATTTTGATTCCCAACTCCTTGGATCATTTATAATTTCAGTTTCGATGAGCGATTCAAAATTATTTAGTCCCAGACGTTCTTCAAGGATTTCGATAACACGTTTACGTGCCCTTTTAACCCACTCATCCATACAATCTTTATTATTGCTGGAAATGTGACTGATCGGCAACAGTAGCACAACTGATTTAAATGAAAAACGTTGGGAAAAGGACGAATTAAAATGGATTAAACTTTCAAACCTTCTCACCTGTATCTTTTCCCTTGGGCGCTGCACTCTCATCAATTCGAGACGGTACATTTACATAAAAGAATGGATCGTTGGAGAGAACTTGTTGTTGAAAAATGCTATCAAAACTGGATTTATAATCATTGGCCAGAAAAATGTTATGCACATCTAGTTCAGGAACTTTTCGCGATAGTCCCCAATAAAATGAGATCGATGACGATGTCAACGCTGCTTTTTCACCCAATTCCTTTCCATACTTTGTGGGAGGTAAAAGGTGATTATATGCATATACCAAATCTGCATTGCATACAACAATATCTGCATACTTTTTACTGCCGTCTTCAAATTCAACACCTTTTGCAACATTTTGTTCGTCTACAATAATTTTTTTAATGATTTTATTATAGTGAAAGATTGCGTTAAATTTTTTCGTTGCGATATTTTCCAATGCTTCAATAACTTTATGGAAACCACCGCGGACGTAAAAAATCCCTTCGGCAATTTCAGTATACTGTAGAAGATTAAACATAGCTGGCGCCTTGTAAGGACTCATGCTAAACAAAAAAAAATATGTTCATTTATATTTACCCAATATACATATATATATATATATTAGGGCGGGTCAATTTGTATGGAAGAATTTTTGGAAGGTCTGGCTTAACGAAATTCGTAAAATACATGTAATTTCAAGACTT